CTAATTCAAAGAGTTAGTTTAATTGATAAATCATTTGAAATTTTCTCAAAAACAATGAATCAAGTTACCAATTTGTTAGCACATCGAAAACTCCCTTATATTTGATAGAAAATAGTAATTTTCCTAACAAGTGCGAAAAGTGATACATTCCCGTACGCAAAAGAGGTTAGACGAACGACGCGCCTATTGCTCGCTTTGTGACATTCATTTCGGCTAATGTCCCACTACCATATCTTCTAAATTCTGGTCGACGACTGGCTGTTCGCTGTTGCCTTGTTGCCATTTTATTAACTTATATGGCGGTCTGCCGTCTCAAGAGCTCACTGTTTGTGGAAGACTATATAAAATGTGCTGGTTGAAAAGGAAGTTAAAATACTGGGTGCAAATGAACAATTTTATTAAATATCAAAGTCAATAATTCCTTTTTTTTCTGGCAACTAAACTCATAAAAGCACAATACAGGGTATAGACAATACTTAACATTATAAAGGAAATAAATATTTAAATCAACATTCTCCCTTCCCAAAATGAAGCTTGCTTTAAGTGGCTTTATTTTCATTGAAATGGAGGACACACAACTTTGAAATAGCTCGTCTAAAGGTACCATAAATTGTTCTGATGTCAACGACACGTATTCGGCCATCCCTGCCTGGATATACAGCTGTCACTCTAGCTTTTGGCCACACATTCCTTGGATTATGGTCATCAACAATGATGACGATATCATCAATCTCAACAGCTTTCTGTTCGTCGTTCCATTTGGATATAAAATGTAGAGTAGGCAAATATTCTTTAATCCAGCGACACCAAAACTTGTAACCTAAATTTTGGACAATCTTCCACTGCTTCTGATGAGTTATAATAAGGCCCCAGCAAAAAATGATTAGGCGTAAGTGCTTCTTCGTCTTGTGCATCTAACGAAATTACGGTCAAAGGCCTGGAGTTGGCGATGTTTTCTACTTCAAGAAAAACGTGTGAAGAACTTCGTCGAATGGAATTTTTTCTTTTAAAACAATTTTCAAAGCTCTTTTGACGGTTTGTATTTGATGTTTCCATACACCGCCCATATGACCGGCGGTAGCTGGATTAAAGTGCCACTTGGTGTTTTTTATGGAAAGGCTTTCGATAATTTTTTGCTGATTGAACTCCTTCAAAGCTATCTGAAGTTCTTTATCAGCGCCTTTAAAATTTGTGCCATTATCGCTAAATATTTCAGCAGGGTATCGCCATTATATCTGAGTCGATGGTTAGGGAATTCGCTATCTCAAGGTGTATAGCACGCGTGGAGAAACAAGTAAATAATACACCGTATCTTTTCTCTCTGCCTCTACCAACTTTGACAATATAAGGTCCAAAATAATCTAAGCCACAAAAGGAAAATGGTTTTACAAATGGTGCTGTGCGGGCAGTCGGTAAGTTTCCCATGATTGGAATTTTTGGAGTATTTTTTGTAATTTGACAAACAACCTTTTTAACAAACAACCTTTTTAACTACATTGCCTGATTTGGGAATCCAAAATTTTTGTCTGACTTCGTTTTTAACTGTCGCAACTCCTTGATGATTAAATTTTTTATGATAAAATAATACCAATAGTTCAGACCGTTCAGACCCGACGCGATACCCGAACTCCGAACGAAAGAATTACAATACAATACCATAGATACAAGATACAATACCGATACCTGATACCGATCAGAGACGACGTATATCAATCATATTCGTTCTCGTTCGTCTTTCTTTTCTCATCGCTGCCGCTGAAGGTCCGAAGGTCGAGTCGAACTAGTGAACTAGTTCAATTAAAACATTCGAACTAGTTCATTTAGTTCACACAAAAGAACGGCTCATTTTAATAGTTCGTTCGCGAACTACACATCTCTAGGCACTTGATTTCAGCCAGTTAAAAGTTAAAGCCGCATTTTCAATTAGATCCGCCGTCGATAAATTTTTCGTATCGTGTTTATAAATCCGTTAGTAAAAAACCTTGTTTCAGTTTTTTTTTTATAGAAGAAACGTTTTATATTGAGACCGCATTTAGTTTAAAAACCGAATTATCTTTTAGAAATATGAACATTTTAATTTGTTGAGTTAAAAGATATAATTTCATTTCATTAATTAATATTAGAATTTAGTTCTTGGCAAATAGAATTCCGTTTTTTTTAAGTTATTGTTGTGAGAAAGATTTAATTTGATTTAATTAATAAATATTAGAAGTTATTTCTTTAAAAATAGAATACCGTTTTTCAATATATTGTTGTGAGAAAGATTTAAGTTGATTTAATAAATAAATATTAGAAGTTGGTTCTTTAAAACTGGAATATCGTTTCTTTAAAGGGAATTGAATTTGATTTAAATAATAAATGATAGAATTTAGTTCTTTAAAATTGTAATACCGTTGATTTAGAAATTTTGTAGTTAGTCTGACCCAAGACATTAAACTTTTCTTTTTGTTAGGTTAAATCGGGAAATAAATTTGATTTCATTGATAAATACTTTTGTTTACTAAGTGCCGCGTTATAAATAAGTTGGGAATATTTAGAAATAATCTTAAATAGCATCCTGTCCCTGTCTGAGCGGGCTCGTGATGACGATCAGCTCATTCTTGGATTAGGTGCTATCCGCATTTTTTTTTTTGTTAATGTGCAAACCGCAAATTGAAATAATCTTAAATAGTATCCTATCCCTGTCTAAGCCTGCTCGTGATAACGATCAGCTCATTCGTGGACTAGATACTATTCGCGTTAGTAGTTTTCTTCCCTCTGATAATAGTTTTGTTTTCTCTTTCACCGTCAATTTAAATAACCTTAAATAGTATCCTGTCCCTGTCTGAGCGGGCTCGTGATGACGATCAGCTCATTCTTGGATTAAGTACTATCCGCGTTAATTTTCTTTATTTTTTCCGTGCAAATTGCAAATTACAGAAATCTTAAATAGCTTCATTACCCTGTCTGAGCGGGCTCGTGATGACGATCAGCTCATTCTGGGATAATAGGCTACCCCGGGTATACATTTTTTTTCTCCCTTTCCGAATATTTACTACAAGTAGTTCTTTCATGACCCTGACTCCTCGTACTCTCTGCGACCGTATAGATAATTTTTCCTTACCGAACTAGTAAAGTACATTTTAGTTTAATTCCCGATACGACAGTTAAATAGTTAATTTTTGCTACGACCGCTCTTAGAATTTTTCCTTACCGAAATGGAAAATTATGTTTTAGTTTAATTACCGACTAAGTAGTCAAGTTAATTTTTCCTGCGACCGAAACACTCATTTTATTTTAATTTAATTTTGACGCCTGATTGAGACTAGTCGGGATTCAATACCGTCCGTTTTTTTTGTTTTGTTTGTTCAGGGTTATATTGACTATCATCGCAACGAGGGTGGGCGTTGAAATATATAATGTTTTTATTTTAATGTGTAAATAGTTATTCACAATATATGTGTCAATGTTATCTTGCCGTATTACTAGTTACTAATTCCATACTTTATTTCCCTCTTGTATTTCAGCTAGTGATAAATTGTGTACCAGCCCAAGCAACGATTAAAGCCCGTTACTTGTGGCCTACCATTACCTGTGTAAAAGTGACCTTTGACACCTGGAATTTTTCATCTCCATCTGTAGCTACCCTAGTACTTTAGACGCCGTTTCGAGAGTTTGTGGAGTAAACAGCGCCATTCGTAAGGAAACGTTTTCTCTGTGGCGAGAAAACCCCTTGCAATAATGAACGCCAACAATTCCTGCCCAAACATTCATTTTCAGGGTATTGCGTATATTCTTCTTTCATCCAGTGAGAATTTTCCCTAGACCAATAGCGGCAATTTTGAAGATTAGCATTACCGTGAAGTGTAAAGGTACACTCATCAGATAACAAAACATGTTCTAATTGGATCACTATATTATCTAACATAACTAATCATCTGTAGAATTATTATTTTGTGCTTTTCTGTTAATTGAACCATTTTTCTGACATGCAGTTAAGTAAATTCAAACGACTATAACACTGACAACTACTGTCATGCAGTCAGATAACAATTTGCTAAGGTCAGGCGTTTTAAACAAAAGTAAACAAAACTATTTAAGTATAGCTTTTTTTTATTTCATATCAGTAAAAAGGAACGTTGAAATGGTTTTTGCTTACTTTCTTTTATCAAGACCTCAATGGGAAATAAGTATTGAGTGTGTTGTAGCGAATTTCTGTAATCAAACAATTTTATTTTGTTAATATTGATTTTTGCAATAAATCGGAAAACATTTAATATTTTCGAAACAGTTAGGTATAGAATATAGTATATAAAATATGTCTAGAATTTTCTGAAGAATCCAAAAATTGAAAAATGCGCAGGGTGTTGCATTTAAAATAAGAAAGTTGGTATTGGCCACTGTTACATGACACGCCCTGCATAAAAAGTTTTTGCTTAGAAAAATGCGCAACTAAAAATACCAATCGACGTGTCCGAGCGTTTTTCGAACACCATTTATTTATTACCGAATTTATTCCATTTGGCTGTTCCACACTGTATAATTATTACAAATAAAGCTTTCTTTTTATCGGTTTTAACCAAAAATCAATTTCCGGCCAATTACGTTATTACGTAGATATTATTTTTAGGCATCAAACTGTAGGTAGGTCGGTTAAAAATTAATGAGATTCATACAAAATAAACATTTATTCATAGACTTTAACATAATTTTTCCTACCTGTGGAAAACGTTATAAATAATAGACAATTTAATATTTTTTTGTGTCTGAGACAGATTATTTGTGGCCCATTCAACTTTCGTAGAAAACCCCGTTGACAAGTTTATCGCGTTTGAAAAATTACAAAACTACTATTAATAATTTCCAATTTGCTTTGACAACATGAAAAATAACATGAAAGATTTTTTATTTTCCCAAAATATCCTGCCAGCGAAATGATATGCTATTGAAAATCGAAATATATTTTGCAATCCCTGTAAACATAATATTTGAGATATCTCTAACACAAGTTTTTTTTCCAGTCATGTCCTTTCCAACTAAAGAAGAGCGCACGAAATGTTGGAGTGCCCGCGACCAGTATTGGGAGTGTCTTGATAAAAATTCAGTGAAATCCGGTGATACAAAGGACATTAATGTTTGTGCAGAATTTCGAAAAATGTACGAACAATCGTGTTCCGCGCAGTGGGTGAAACATTTCGATAGGAAGAGGAACTATCTAATTTTTAAGGAAAAAATTGAGAAAGATGGGTATGAACCACTTGAATCTGTGAAATGATTTTAAAAAATAGATCAAATTTAGTAGAATAAAATTATTTAAATAATTGGGTTTTTAATTCATCCAAAAATTGCAATCCATTTTTTTATTTTTGTAATTATCGATTATATCAACATTAATATTAGGCAACTTAAGATTTTACACATTATTACCTACACTTACACTATTAAAAATGGTCAGTTTGATTTACCAACATACAGTGTGGAACAAAATGAAAGATGTATCGTTAATAAAACGTAATAAAATACCTGTTAAATAATATTAACAGATTCGTTACAAAGATATGTTGGTCCATTTTTGAATTATTTTAAAATTAATGTATGCATAAAATAGGAATGCAGCTACTAAACATGAAAAAGTAGATATCTTAGAATTTAAAACAATTTGAATTCCATTAAAACAAGATATTAAAGCAACCAATAATATCATGGGATAAATCTTTTAACAGATCAAAATATTTTCTTAAAGTCGATTAGAAAATGTTGATATACCTATGATTTTAGATAGGAAGTTGATAGGAATATAATATTATGTTAAATTATTTCACTGACTTAAACATACAAATTATCGAATTAAATAATTATTGTGCATTATTAATTATTCTTATTTTTATAATTAAAATTTTTTGGTCAAAATTAAAGTCAGAGTTTGTTGTGTTCATTACATTAGTTATTTTTCTTCAAATTAAATAATTGGTAACTGTGATATACATTTATTTAGTTAATCAAATGAAATATTTGATTTCGACAATCATTTGAAAGTGCGTTAAGTTAATAAACATTTAAAAGATATAAAATTAAGTCGTTAAAATTAACTAAATTCATTACCAATATTTTTTTAAATAAATTGTACATTTTTTATATGAAAAGGCGAGCGAAGCGAGCGCGCCCGGCCGACGTTTTGAAATTCGCGCGAATTTGATTCATTTCATAAAATTTTATTCAAAATTGTTTTGCAAACCTATCAGGAATCTGTATATAAATTTCGACTTATACCTTAACATTTCAAATTTCTCAAATGTTTATTAACTACAATTTGCCTATTTATTTACTCCTATAATTCTTAAATGTGTTTAATTATCTCTCTGGGCCAAAATGATCTTTTAAATTTAAAAATGTTTGAACGTCGCAATTTAAAAAGGGTATGTCGATGTATGTTTTAAATGGGATGACTTTTAAAGTACTCACCGAGTGAACTAATTCAGCTATGATTTTTCGAAAAGTACCTTGTTTATTACTTAATAGATGATGTAATATTAATATTTAATTATTATGTACTACAACAATTCAATCAAAATGGATAAATAAACCGTCAGGTGTGACTGGAAATAAATTACAGAAGTGATTTTTAAAGTGTATGAAAATGTTAAGTCAAAAATATGGTATTTTTTTTATTTTATTTTTCGCTGATTTTAATTAGATACTTGACAACCCCGCGCATATTTAAATTGACAGAGCATGACAGATATAATTCTAAATTCTAATGATTAAATACATAAATGATCACTTAATGATCCTCATATGCCTTTAATATGTAATTTAAAAAAAATACGTTAATTTATGGGGTTTCTGGTTATATATTTGAAAAATACTCTCCTTTCTAAAGTCTGAAATGTAAGTTTTGTAAAACAAATTGTATTTTTAAGAAAGGACGTCTCCGCAATATTTACCAAAATCCTACTTACAGAACGGTGCAAAATTGATATCATTCATGGAAAAATTTAAAATTGGTACCAAGAACAGGAGAAGGGTTAACAAGGTATATAAGTCTTTATCTTTTAGGAAACGTTTAATACTGATTTATTAAGTAGGGAGGATTCAATATGAGCAATGACAAGTAAGGTATCGATACTATTCCAAAGTATAATTTATTTATTTTATTTATTTATTTAAATTAAATTTAATAACAATGGATGTTTACAAATGTTTTGAAAATTTTTAAATTAAGTTAGGTACCTAGGTGCAAGCACCTGTATGTGCAAAAAGTAATGGCAGTAAAATTATAAATTATAGGTACATGTTTCATCAGTGCTTCGTCATGGTAATATACTAATATAAAATTTAAGTTGCATTCATAATAGAAATAACGGGTGCTTGTCGGGCTAGTGAGATGTATTTCATGAAAATTAGTACTATACAAGACCTTGAATCAACTTTTTTAGTAAGCATCAGGCGATAAAAATCTATAAATAAAATAAATATAAAAAAAATTAGTCGCCAGCCGAGAATCGATCCCCGGATTTTGGCCGTGGAAGTCTATCCATGCCTCTACGGCCACTTTCATGATTTTGGTTTTAATATTCGTAATTAAAATAGTTTTAAATTTAATTTTTGTGTCAAAATATGGTTCAAATAACAATAGAAATGCTATTATTTACGATTATTTATCGATTCTAAACAAAAATAACTCATTTTAATGTATATTTAATCTTAATAATTAAACAATATCCTGACAATTAGTTTGACAGGATCCTCACTTATTTAAATTTTTAAAAATAATAGTAATTTGGTGTTCAAAATATGAACTGTAATTGGTGGATTTCTTTTTTTGCAGTGTTCTCACTACCTAGAATGGATATGAAATATATTCGTTCAGTTGAACGCACTGACATACTTTTTCGTTTTGTAGTTTGTTTTTTGGTACTAGTGAGTACTTCCCTCCAGATGAGTAAAACCTTTTTCATTTTCACCTTTTTAAAAAATGTTAATAAAAGTTTTTATTTTAAAAATAATAATAATAATAAACCAAATAAAAATTGAATCTCTTTCCTTTAGAAATTATTTTATCTAACTTAGAACTTAGTTGAATTTCAGAATTTTCTGTTCAACCTAAGTACTTTAAAATTCATTGTTTTTAAAATGCAATGTTTTTTATATTTTTTGTCATTATTTCACTAAAGCAAAGTGATATTGCACTTCTGTTTGGATTATTATAAGTTTTGAAATAAGCAAAAACCTTTATGGGGAATAATTTTTTTTTTTTTTTCGAAAACTGAAAATAAAGTTTTTCCTGCTCTTTTTCATTCCATGTATGTCCATTTCAGTCCACTTTATATATTATATTTTATGCGTGTATATACATTTTAAAGTATATAACTGTTCTTTTGAGTATTCTCTACTTGTACCTCTACCTAATAGCCGACACTGTATATATGATAAATAACTTTTTTGTTGTCTTATATAATAACGGCGATATCATCCACTACCACTCAAGAACTAATTCTGTATAATCAAATAAAAATAGCAGTAGAGAGATATTACAAGTTTACTTGAGGCCAGTTACTATTAGCGTCTCTCTTGTTTTATTATTAAAGATTGTGCCTATCCTTAAATGTAAATGTTTAAAGGCAGCATATAGTGGCAACTTTATAGCTTTGGGTTACGTTCGCCTGCATTCGTATCAGTTCGAATTTTTTTAGTATTAGATATTTAATCATCTAAACCTTCTAAAATTATAATTTCTAATGCCTTTTTAATATTATGACATAGACAACAAAAAAGATAAACTGTAATTTAAAATTTTTAAAATGAAGTTATATAAGGACAATGCGTGCAATAAGTCCTATTTTAGCATGGAATTTATTTGCCTCTAATTATTACGTTGTCATTATTAGTGGTCGACGCTATAGAAATTTGCAATATTTCTCTAATAAAAAAGAGTATTTACTTTACTGACCTTCAAATAATATTAATTTATTGTACATCGATCTCATGTTCTTGTTTTTGTCAAATATGTTTTATTGTGTAAGGAATCTTGAATCATGAACTGTGATGTAGTATAATTTTATTAAATTACTATAGTGGCAGCTTAAGGCCTAATAGTCTATAATGTGATTATCCAGTTTACAGAATAGATTTCTATTAACTAACATACTTTTTCCAATACGCTTTGCACAAGTCAGCTATGTGAAAACTACATTATTGTGAGCAGGAAGCAAATATTATCAGCGATGTCTATTTATACGGCTCGGACAACGTTACAACACGGACGGGCCGTATAAACATCATAACAAAACATAATTGAATTATATAAAAACTTACACAATTATTGTAGAATTCAAACGTTAAGAAATACAAACTTTATCGTGTAATCAACCAAAATAAAAAAATATGCTACGCATTACATTTTGAATATAATTATAGCTTTCAAATGAAGTAGCAAACTTTACAATTTTTGTATGCTGCTAGTGAGCGTTTAAATCAAAAGTAATCCAATGAGTAGTTTTATTGCCGAATTCTCCTTAAAATTATCTTTTCAGTGACGTGTCATACTTGGCACTTCCCTATTAAAACTTAAACTTGCATTGGTTAGAGTAACGGAGTGTAGGGGAATGACGTATGACAGTTAATATGATAAAAAGATGTCCTTCTTCAAACTAAAATCGATCTGTCTGTTTTTTAACATCCATGATATTAATTCCCAAAACCCCCATCAAGTTTTCGTTGGGTCACCTTGTATAAAGAGAGAACTATTTATATTAAAGAAAATTAACTTATAAATAATAACCTTTAAACAAAATATTAAAAATGGACCGATCCCATATTATTATAGAGAAATACTAAATAAATAGTTTTGAAAAAACTATTAAAACCAGTTGTGAAGTTTGAAACGAATAAATTGGTAATGAAATTGATATTTTTGTATTTGATTGTATGTTACTCTATTCACTCCCTGAAAAAATATTCCCCATAAAACAAGAAATAGTAAACAGTTTATAATAATAACCTTTATTTGCTACTTATAACATGTACCAATGACCAAGTCCGTTTATTTTCAAATAAACAAATAGGGCCGTAGATAGAATCTTTAAAAATTAAATAACTCACCGAAATAAATGTAAGTTTCCTTTATCACCATCACACTTCGCAATTTTATTATAAATAAAGCTTTTTTACAACACATCTTGTCATTTTCAACGTTAATTTCCAAAATTTAAGTCACTAAAATACCAAAATAATTCTCGTTGACACAT